CGGACAGTCTCAGTGATTTTCCTCCAAAGGCTTCCAAGCTCCATGTGGAAAACAAAGTGAGGCAGCAAACTTGCATTGCTCCAAGCACCTCATTAGCGTGCAACCACTTTTCCCACAGAGACTGAAACCTTCTGGGTGCCCTGATCCTATGGGATGTCAGGCACCCATTCTCTGCAAAAGTGGATGGGTGCCTGAACTCATGTGAGACCAGGCACCCCAGACGTTTCCAGTTTTCGTCTGGGTGAAAACTGTTTGAGTGGCCCTGGAGATGTTGGAAACGGAGCAAATTGTTCCATTTCCAACTGTTCTAGGGCAGCTCAAACACTTGTCGCTCTGATGGAGACTGCAAGTTTTGTCTGCATGAAGTGGGGAGTTTGAAAATGGAGCTTTTCTCTCTGTTTCCAACCACCCCATTTCCACGCAGACAAAGTTTCCAGCCTCTGTCAGGGCAAGAGCAGCCCTGGAGCAGTTGGAAATGGAGCAAAAAGCTCCGTTTTCAAACACCCCATTTCCATGCAGACGAAGTTGCAGTCTCCATCAGGTTTCATCAGGGCATCAAGTGTTTGAGCGACCCTAGGGCAGTTGGCAATAGAGCAAACTGCTCTGTTTCCAACCGCCCCAGGGTCGCTCAAACTTGGTGTCTTAACAGAAACTGGAAACTTCATCTGCATGGAAATAAGGTTGGAAATGAACCCTATTTGCTCCATTTCCAACCACCCCATTTACATGCAGAAGTAGTTTCTAGTCTCCATCAGATCTAATCAGAGTGCTAAGTGTTTGAGCGACCCTGGGGCAGTTGGTAACTGAGCAAATCGGTCCGTAATCATTGTTGCTCTTCTCTGCATTCTTTCTAGGGTCTCAATATCTTTTTTGTATCATGATGACCAGTACTGGATGCAGTGTTCCAGGTTTTGTCCTACCAGTGCATTATGAGGTGGTACTACTACTTTACTTGATCTTGATATTATCCCTCTGTTGATGCAGCCTAAGACGGTGTTGGTTTTTTTGACAGCTGCAGCACACTGCTGACTCATACTTGTGGTGATCTGCTAGGACACCTAGATTCCTCTCACAGTTACTATTGTTGACCCAGGTATCATCTATTCTATACCAGTGCATTTGGTTTTTCGTGTCTGTGTGTAGGACCTTACTTTTCTCATCACTAAAGGGCATTTTGTTGGATAAGGCCCAGTGTTCAAATCTGTCAATATCCTTCTGAATTTTGAATCTATCTTCTAAAGTGTTAGCTGTTCCCCTCAGCTTATTGTCATCTGCAAAGTTGATGAGTTTCCCTTCTATCCTCTCATCTAGATCATATAGAAATGTAACATTATTGTCAAAATAAGTGAGTTAAGGCTTAAATAGCTTCATCAAA